CATACCCATCCTCTGAGCGGTAGTGCACCCAATACCCATCCTGTGGGTGGTAGTGCACCCCATACCCATCCTGTGAGCGGTAGTGGACCCCATAACCATCCTGTGAGTAGTAGTGGACACCATGCTTATTCTGTGAACGGTAGTGAACCCCATACCCATCCTATGAGTAGTAGTGGACCCCATACCCATCCTATGAGTAGTAGTGGACCCCATACCCATCCTATGAGTAGTAGTGGACCCCATACCCATCCTGTGAGTAGTAGTGGACCCCATACTCATCCTGTGAGTAATAGTGGACCCATACCCATTCTATGATTTGTAGTGAACCCCATACCCATCCTGTGAGTAGTAATGGACCCCATACCCATCCTATGAGTAGTAGTGAACCCCATGCCCATCCTATGAGTAGTACTAGAACCTATACCCATTCTATGAGTAGTAGTAGACCCCATACTCATCCTGTGAGTAGTAGTGAACCCCATACCCATTCTATGAGTAGTAGTGGACCCCATACCCATCCTATGAGCGCTATTGGACCCCATACTAATCCTGTGAGTTGTAGTGGATCCCATACCCATCCTGTGAGCGGTAGTGGACCCCCATACCCATCCTGTGAGCGGCAGTGGGTAGTGTAATGGAGCATTGGGTGACGTAATGGGGCGCTGGGTTACGTAATAGGGAACTAGATGTCGGAATGGGGTGATGAGTGGCGCAATAAGATTGGGTGGCTCAATAGGACACTGTTGTAATAGGCGTAATGGGGACAATGGGGAGCTGGTTGGTGTAATGGGAAGTTGGGTGGCGTAATAGGAATGTGGATGGCGCAATGGGGGACCTGGGTGTCATATAATGGAGCGATGGATGACATGATGGGAAAATGGTTGAATCAATAGGGAACTGTGATGTGTAATATGGGTCTGGATAGCGTAATAGGGAGCTGTGATGTGTAATATGGGTCTGGATAGCATAATAGGGAACTGTGATGTGTAATATGGGTCTGGATAGCGTAATAGGGAACTGTGATGTGTAATATGGGTCTGGATAGCGTAATAGGGAGCTGTGATGTGTAATATGGGTCTGGATAGCGTAATAGGGACCTGGGTGGCATAATGTAGCTAGTAAACAGCTACAAGATGACGCAATAACGATGTGTGAAATCCTTGATTGCGTGGAGACACGTGACGATAACTGTGGGTTATCTTCACGATAGATAACAATCGATAGATAACTATCGACTTCTGTTGCTTCACATTGTGGTGTTTGGCTCTTCTCTGGTGGCGTCATGTGGTGGGTTGTTCCCCCACAGGATGGGTATGGGGTCCACTACCGCTCACAGGATGGGTATGGGGTCCACTACCGCTCAAAGGATGGGTATGGGGTCCACTACCGCTCACAGGATGGGTATGGGGTCCACTAACGCTCACAGGATGGGTATGGGGTGCACTACCGCTCACAGGATGGGTATGGGGTACATTACTACTCACAGGATGGGTATGGGGTTCCACTACGCTCACAGGATGGGTATGGGGTCCACTACTACTCATAGGATGGGTATGGGGTCCACTACTACTCATAGGATGGGTATGGGGTCCACTACTACTCATAGGATGGGTATGGGGTCCACTACTACTCATAGGATGGGTATGGTGTCCACTATCACCCACAGGATGGGTATGGGGTCCACTGCCACCCACAGGACGGGTATGGGGTCCACTACCATCCACAGGATGGGTATGGAGTCCACTATCACCAACAGGATGGGTATGGAGTCCACTATCACCCACAGGATGGGTATGGGGTCCACTACTACTCATAGGATGGGTAAGGGGTCCACTACCGCTCACAGGATGGGTATGGGGTCCACTTCCGCTTACAGGATGGGTATGGGGTCCACTACTACTCATAGGATGGGTAAGGGGTCCACTACCGCTCACAGGATGGGTATGGGGTCCACTACCACCCACAGGATGGGTATGGGCTTCACTATCGCTCACAGGATGGGTATGGGGTCCACTACCACCCAAAGGATAGGTATGGGGTCCTTATCACCCACAGGATGGGTATGGGGTCCACTATCAGCCACAGGATGGGTATGGGGTCCACTATCACCCACAGGATGGGTATGGGGTTCACTACCACCCACAGGATGGGTATGGAGTCCACTATCACCCACAGGATGGATATGGAGGTGCACTATCACCCACAGGATGGGTATGGGGTTTACTACCACCCACAGGATGGGTATGGGGTTCACTACCACCCACAGGATGGGTATGGGGTTCACTACCACCCACAGGATGGGTATGGGGTTCACTACCACCCACAGGATGGGTATGGGGTTCACTATTACCAACAGTATGGGAATGGGGTCCACTACCACCCATAGGATGGGTATGGGGTCCACTATCACCCACAGGATGGCTATGGGGTTGCACTATCACCCACAGGATGGGTATGGGGTTTACTACCACCCACAGGATGGGTATGGGGTTTACTACCACCCACAGGATGGGTATGGGGTCCAATATTACCCACAGGATGGGTATGGGGTCCACTATCACCCACAGGATGGATATGGGGTCCACTATTACCACACAGCATGGGTATGGGGTCCACTATCACCCACAGGATGGATATGGGGGTGCACTATCACCCACAGGATGGGTATGGGGTTTACTACCACCCACAGGATGGGTATGGGGTTTACTACCACCCACAGGATGGGTATGGGGTCCAATATTACCCACAGGATGGGTATGGGGTCCACTATCACCCACAGGATGGATATGGGGTCCACTATTACCACACAGCATGGGTATGGGGTCCACTATCACCCACAGGATGGGTATGGGGTCCACTTCCACGCACAGGATTGGTATGGGGGTCCACTATCACCCACAGGATGGGTATGGGGTCCACTTCCACCCACAGGATGGTTATGGGGCCCACTATCACCCACAGGATGGGTATGGGGTCCACTTCCACCCACAGGATGGGTATGGGGTTCACTATCACCCACAGGATGGGTATGGGGTCCACTATGAGCCACAGGATGGGTATGGAGTCCACTATCACCCACAGGATGGGTATGGGGGTCCACTATCATCCACAGGATGGGTATGGGGTCAACTATCACCCACAGGATGGGTATGGGGTCCACTATCACCCACAGGTTGGTATGGGGTCCACTATCACCCACAGGATGGGTATGGGGTGCATAATAAGTGGAAAACAATATTCCTTCTTAAATCAGGTCTACAAAGACACAAGGGATCATAAACAAAGTCCAATTCCCATTTATTTACTTATATCTGAGAACATCCACTGTATTACAACTCAGTAAATAATGAATAACAAATCCATACTTGAAGCAAACCGAATGAGTTATTTAAAAAGCCTTTTTGGAGTCACACAAGATCATTAAACCACCACTAAGTTGAATGTACTCAGTGGCTAGATAACTACCTAATTGGATCAGTTTGTGTTGTGCTTTCCTAGTCGTTCAGTCTCTGCATGCTACACATGACCATTTCCCTCGCTCTATATAACTGGTAATTGCTAAGTACACTTGGACAGTATTGTCAACACAGCCACGGTTCCTGTTGCACAAGTACTTAGTGGATATATATTAAACCCACCATGAAGAGTGCAGGAGGTAGGTGTCATCATCTGGTATGAAGGTACCTGTAGACACGTCCATGGGGCAGACAGAAGCACCATTAACACATGGGGTGGGGTCCGCTGCCTTCCGTCGCTGGTTGGGGGGGTCACTGCGAGTGCTGGTTGGGGGGTTGAGCCGTCGCCTGTGCATCCTTCTGGCCAGATGAGGTCAGGATAGAGGCGTTGAAGGCTCTCTCCACTCCCTCCGACCTTCACCTCCCGCACGTTAACAGTTAGGGAAGGGACACTTAGCTCGGAGGAAAGTGTGAGACGCATATGAAGAACTACACGCTGCTGGAAAATTATATAATTGGCTGCCGGAAAAAAACGTATCTTCTAGGACTATTATTATTAATATCTTTCTTGACAAAAATTAGTTACAGTTTTGCCTAATCTGAGGATTTCGATTAAGTCTTAGATAATGCTGGTATTCACTGTCACGCAGGACAGAGGGTCATACATAAGACAATAGGTCTACACTGTAGGCTGAAGCACATGTATATCATGGGTTACAATCAATGTTTTAATGTATGGATATGTGAAAACAACTTTCTACTGTGCACTGCCACACAAGGGCAGGGATGGGTTCATAAGTGATGCAGCTTAGAAGTAATAAAAATAAAATTGTTCTTCATTCTTTAAAATGGACAAGTAAATTTTGGATAAATTGTTAGGATGTCGTCCAGAACACCTGAGTCAATAAAATAGTTACACAGTTGGTGGTACAAGAGGCCAGGAGGTCTAAAGTCCTTTACGGTTTCACATTCAACAATATATTGTTCTAGTGAATGCATTAAAGGTTTATCACAGAGTTTACAATCTGAGTATTCTGGTAGTGGCTCAGCCTCACTAACCTGCCAGATGTGTCTATAGCCAAGGCGAATTCGCGCAATGACTACATCACATTGCCTGGTCCGGTTACTGTGCTGACCATACAAATACCTATTATTACAAAACTTGTCATAACTTTTAATACTACAGCTTTAAGGTCTCTGGGCATTTCTTAGTTCTTCTAAATCTGAATTAATTTCTTTTATTTGTATGTTTCTAATAATTGCATTAGATAGTCCAAAGTCATAATCAATGTTTTCTTTCCTGCAAGCCTCATTGGCTAATCGATCTACAAAGTCATGTTTTCCAACTCCAACATGGGATGGGATCCACACAAATTTTATACAATAGTTATTATCATTGGCAAAAATTACATTCCATATAACATTACAAGCTACTTCAGACATACATTGTGATGGGTTATATAAGAACTGCAGAGCACTGTTAGTCACAGAATATCCCTCTACCTCTTATAGGAGGATCGAAAATAGGCAAGAGAAACCTCTGTATTGGGATCTCTTTGCATTTAAATGGAGTTAAATGCACTTTATTAGAATTAATGAAACCCTTTTGTGAAGTACACAGTATAATATGATTCTGAATATTCCAGCATTTACTGATTTATTTATATACAAGATGGTACAGTGGGTTTGTGAGAGAACATAGCAGTAGTGTTCTTACGTTCTTACAAAGCCACTAACAATCACAGCGTTAATTAATAACTTAGCAAAAAAAGCCTGAGGAAATTATAATCACATTGGCCCGATCCACAACTTGGAACAAACAGGAATTTCCTCTTGCTTCGGCAAGACCTCCAAGGGCTTTTCGACAGATAATCTACGAGGTCTAGAGGCGACCCAAGTACATCCATTTTGTAGGTCTGTAAGTTGCTGAAGAACATCGTGTATCTCTAATGAATCCTGAAGAACATTTCGTAGGTCTGTGGGTTGCTGAAGAACATCGTGTATCTCTAATGAATCCTGAAAAACATTTTCTAGGTCTGTGGGTTGCTGAAGAACATCGTGTATCTCTGTGTGATCCTAAGAACATTTTGTAGGTCTAAGGTTTGCCGAAGAACATCACGCATGTCTATGGAGAACCTGAAGAATATTATGTAAGCGCTGTCGAAGATCATTCTGTAGGTCTAAGAGCTGCGAAGAACATTGTGTAAAGGGCTAAGGGCTGCCGAAGAATATCCAATAGGAGGTCAAGGGGCTGATGAAGGACATTCTCTAAGGAGAAAGAACTTTAAGGGCTTCAGAAGAATATCTTTTTAACAGTAATCTAAAGGCTGGCGAGTGGGACTCCTTGCACAAGATCTAGGCGCCTCCGTAGGTCATCCTGCAGTTGGAGCAGCGCCGCTCCTGCATCAGGAAGCAACATACGAGGCCTATGGGAAAGAAGAAGATTCCTAGGCAGATTCCGCAGCAGGTGAACTCGTTCTGTAGCACCCCGGCCTGGAACGGAGGAAGGGATATTCATTCCAGTGTTCTCTTGCTGTTAATGTTACGTATATTTGCGTATATTACATGTATTTAATTATCGCATGTTACACATTCATCTTCTTCTCTTGTCATATGTTTGTCACTATCTCTTTATTCCCCCCCCCCCTCATTTTACCTATACATATGTTTATCTACACACACCTATGCATCCATTTAATTATCCATTCATTTATTCATCTATTTCTTCACTTCTCCATTCATTCATCCAACTATCCATGCATGAATTTATTCATTCATTAACCCATCAATCAATCAGGAATCTGACATTCCAAAACGAAATAAATAAACGTCTCAGTAAACAAATAGATGACATGAAGGATAAACAGCAAATAGAAACCATAGTTCACAACACTGACAAACAAACACACCACCACCACCCCCTTTTCGTTCACCACCACCACCACCACCACCACCACCTCCGCCACCACCACCACCACCACCACCACCACCACCACCTCCGCCACCACCACCACCACCACCACCACCACCACCTCCGCCACCACCACCACCACCACCACCACCTCCGCCACCACCACCACCACCACCACCACCACCTCCGCCACCACCACCACCACCACCACATGCAGGTAGTGGTGGTGTGTTTGGTGAGGTCTTGCCACACCTCACAACATGCAGGTAGATGGTACCAAACCTCACAACATGCAGGTGAATGGTACCAAACCTCACAACATGCAGGTAGATGGTACCAAACCGCACAACATGCAGGTAGATGGTACCAAACCTCACAACATGCAGGTAGATGGTACCAAACCGCACAACATGCAGGTAGATGGTACCAAACCTCACAACATGCAGGTAGATATCCTCACTTGACACTGACTCTCCACACAACCTCACTGGACGTTGCGTCTACACTGCTCACCCGGCAGGCGGGGCAGCTGGTGCCCATGATGATGATGGGCTGTGTGACCACCTGTGGCTGCACGGTCACCACCTGTGGCTGGGGGTACCCCATACCCTCCCCTCCCCGGTGGCCCCCTCCATGGTGGCCGCCTCCGTGCTGGTCGACGCCGCTGTATGGTGGAGGAGGCTCTGTGTGCCCAAGATGGGATACATAGGGAATAGACATTAGAAGCATCCTCACCTGACTGAATTAATTAATTCACTTAATTTAAAAAATTTATTCTCCGCCAAACTCTACCTTTAAATCACAATGAAATCACAAGAAAGCGATATATCTATGATAATACATTGAAGTCATACAATGGGATCGAGTCCCCGGACTCCTCCAGTAGGTAGTGGGGTAGGGGGGGGCATGAGTAGTTCAGGGATGCGGGTTCGATCCCACCGTACAGCTTCAACATATTATAATAATCTTAAAGTTTACCTGATTGCTTGTAGTCAGCCATGACAGTGTGAGGAAGAGTCCGCCGGACACAGCCTGTGAGAGAGGAACAACAATACAGCTCAGTAATGTATCAGAGAGGATTAATTGATTGATGAAAAGCACGGGCATGAATAGCCCGTAATATCAGAGATGACACTTGCTGCAATTTTGTAACTTTTTTGTTATTCATGTGCGGTGCAGAAAGCGACGACTTTTGACTTCCCTTTTTCCCTTCCCATAGGCCATAGTAAGCCTTACCCCTGCTAGTTTTTCCCTGAAACACGACCCACCTGGAATTAAGGATTGGTGCCCAGTCAATCCCCCCCACCACACTTCCATTTTGAGGCACAGGAGGAGTGTGTTTTACCACTGAGCCATCATGACTTAACACGCAACAGTACCCTTGAGGGAGGCGGGTGCTTAGATGCTCAACTGTTTGGGTGTGAATAATCTTAATTTTAATATGTTCAAAACCTGGGGCCAGATTCACGAAGGAGTTAGGCAAGCACTTACGAACCTGTACATCTTTTCTCAATCTTTAGCGGCTTTGTTTACAACTATTAAACAGTTAATGAGCTCTGAAGCACCAGGAGGCTGTTTATAACAATAACAGCAGTTGATTGGCAAGTTTTCATGCTTGTAAACTTGTTAATAAATGTAATCAAAGCCGTCAAAGATTGAGGAAAGATGTACACGTTCGTAAGTACTTGCGTAATTGCTTCGTGAATCTGGCCCCCAGGAATTAAGTTAGACTCTCGAGACATAAGTTAGACTACGAGACACGACAGTTACAACCTACGAGACAACACTATACTTAGGCTCGTTAAAATAAAACTCATAAAAAAGGTTAGAGAAGCATGGTCTTTGAAGGGTAATCGTAAGTTGGATTATGTCAAGATTATTTCAAACGAAAGTTACATTGAAATTCAGTTAAGTTTGGATTCAGGAAAGACCTGGGTAAATACTGGTTTGGAAATAAGATTGTTGATTTATTGAACAAATTACCGGGTCATATAACAGACGTAGGCTCGATGGATTGTTTCAAGCGCAGGTCAGACATATATATGAATGAGTTTGGGTGGATATATATATAGGAACTGCCTCGTATGACCACTACACCTTCTGCAGTTTCTTTTATTCTTATATTGTTGTTTTGTTCTGTTATAAATTAGATTAAGACATAGTACAATTATAACTCAACCTTTCACAAACATAACAATTATAACTCCGACTCAAGCAGACATGAAAGTTATAATTCAGACTCAAGCAGACATGAGAGTTATAACTCAGATTCAAGCAGACATGAGAGTTATAACTCAGACTAACAGACGTGACAGTTATACCTCTACACACTAAGATCTTAGTAAAAATAAATCCTAAAACACATGGAAGGACGCAGATCAAAATAATATTGCAATACAAAGTGTTTTAACCAAAGGTTCGCGTGATCGTAAGTGATCTTGAAGTTATCTTGAAACACCAACACGAATAGTGACCCGAATTATCTTCAGTTACTAATAAATGATTCAAACTTACCTAAAATGAACAGGACTTAAATGGGCCGCAGCAGAATTCCATCGGTGAAATTCGTGGCCTTATCACAGATGTCAGAAGCTCTGGTTGATTTTTTTAGGAATAGATAGTGTCGTGGACTAGATCGTAACTATCCTAGAACTGTCGTGATTAGATATCTGATTTCATGAGTTGGGTATAGAACCTGAGAAACGTATGTATTCCTCATAGCTGCTGTATAAACCCAACCCGACCTAAACTAACCAAATATAATCTAACCTACCCAACCCAACCTAACCTAATCTAATCTAACCTAATGGTTTTCATATATTTGTTTAAGTAATGCACTGTTCAGTAATCAACAACGGTTCCCACTGGTCACTGTATAATTCACTCACTGGATAATATACTTTATTCGTCGAGCAATGTACTTCACTCACTGGACATAATGTACTTCACTCACTGGACATAATGTACTTCACTCACTGGACATAATGTACTTCACTCACTGGACATAATGTACTTCACTCACTGGACATAATGTACTTCACTCACTGGACATAATGTACTTCACTCACTGGACATAATGTACTTCACATTACTGGACAAATATACTTCACTCACTGGACATAATGTACTTCACATTACTGGACAAATATACTTCACTCACTGGACATAATGTACTTCACTCACTGGACATAATGTACTTCACTCACTGGACATAATGTACTTCACTCACTGGACATAATGTACTTCACTCACTGGACATAATGTACTTCACTCACTGGACATAATGTACTTCACTCACTGGACATAATGTACTTCACATTACTGGACAAATATACTTCACTCACTGGACATAATGTACTTCACATTACTGGACAAATATACTTCACTCACTGGACATAATGTACTTCACTCACTGGACATAATGTACTTCACATTACTGGACAAATATACTTCACTCTCTGGACATAATGTACTTCACTCTCTGGACATAATGTACTTCACATTACTGGACAAATATACTTCACTCTCTGGACATAATGTACTTCACATTACTGGACAAATATACTTTACTCACTGGAAGCTATTTCACGCACGGGAGACAATATACCTAATTCATTGGACTCAATATATTCGCCCTTGACTGGATGCAATGTACTACACACACTGGACAGTATCCTTCACACACTGGACACAATGTTCTTCACACACTGGAATAGTAACAGCTCACATATATCTACGTTGTATATGCATTGGACTCGATAGGCTAGGGAGGTTGCCTGGGTTTGTACATTTCTGGTTAGGTTAGGTTAGGTTGGTTTTTGAAGGCAGTGGGAAATCAAGAAATCAAGGCTGCCTCACGACATTCGAAAATGGCAAAGCCCTAAACATTTTGTTGTTGATTATTTATGTTTTGAACTGCAGCAAGCCCTCACGTTCTGTGTTTCTGTTGTTTTTGGCCCAAACACACATTATAATTTGAGGCTAGGTTAGGTTTAATTACGTTAGGCTATGTTAGGCTTGGCTAGGTTAGGTTTGGGTAGGTGTAAGTTGGGTTATGAGAAAATGCGTAGGACCCGTGAAGAAGATAACCATCTATGCTCTGGGTGTTCCCAGGCATACGTTCTTGACGACTAGACCACGACATTACTCTCTGTGTAGAGGTTAGGTTTTGTTAGATTAGGCTATGTTAGGTAAGCTAGGTGTAATTTTATTAGGCTAAATTTAATTAGATTAGGCTAGCTTCCCCCAGAAGCAGCACCAGCCAACACTGCCTCGACGCCACCAGTAACACCAAATTTTTATATTATCATATTTTAGGTACATGTGCATTTATGCAGCTGCCCCCTACACGGAATGAAGGAGCACATAGTGTGTCAAGAGCTAGACTCGCTACGGGATGCTAAAACATTCCCCATCTCACAAGATGGTTAGTCATACTGGGCCATGTTATCAGTATGGTCGGTGGTGACACACTTTGGACGCATTATGAGGATACCCTCAAGAACACGAGAGTTAATAAAGTTTAGATTGCAAAGCTTCAGGTACCTCATACCGCCAGGTCTGAAGGGTTTAATAACTGGATAGTCAGTAATGTAATGCGTGAAATCATGACTCAGTTCCTGCTCACAGAGTTTGCACCTGGAGTGCTCAGGATTGGGAGATTCGTCACCTGTAGCTACCTGTAACGGTAACCCAGCCTGATCGTGGCCATCACTATGTCACCAACACCACCAGTCAACACCTGACCGCCATACACACACCTCTTACCTTACACTTACCAGTAAAAACACTAAACGGGAAGCTGGCGCTGTAACCTGTCGCGCCTCTGCGCACGAGAGTCAATGTGTGGTTTTTGTCAACTAAACGCCCCCAGCGCCTCCCACCTTATCTGTCCCCAACTGCTCTATCACAGGCCGTATCGCGTCCCTGCCGTCATGTTTTATTGTGTGTGTGTGTGTGTGTGTGTGTGTGTGTTCTGTTTGACGATTGCAGTCCTTCGTGACGTCACGCACCCAACTTTGAGTCGTACTCATCCCCAACTAACATGGACTGCCAAGCCATGGCCACTTGGACAGGATGGTACAGTGAAGGTCTCGCTTCTTGCAGGTCGGGGTTCAATCCCCGACCGTCCAAGTGGTTGGGTACCATTTAGTGGACACACCCAGTGGTTGGACACATTTCCTTTCCTCCGTTCTATCATAAATCCTTAACCTCATATCCCTTCCAAATGCTACATAGTAGTACTGGCTTACCGCTTTGCCACTGACAACATCACGGAAGCCACTATGACAGCATCATTAAAGCCACTATGGCAGCATCATGGTAGCATTAGAAGAAAATAAAATTAAAATGTGACCACAGAATATGAGATAAAATGATAAAATGAGATCAATAGGAATAACAGGTACAGTAGGGCGATATATTTGTCATTTCCTGTTAAACAAAATGCAGTGTGAGTGTGACAGTCAAAGAAAATGGTGAAAGTACATTCAAGGGCGGGTAAACGGCGGGTCTTACTGCATCTATGATTGGTCGGCTAGGCGAGAGGATTTCGCATTTTGGAGGATTTAGGGCGAGTCCTAACTCCTCTTTCTTAGAATTCAACAGCCGTAGATCTGCGAGTAGAGAGGCCCGCTGTTCAACTTTCTTGTGACCTCTTTAGCAGCCATGAAGAAAAGGAAAGCAGTCGTTAACGGCACGAATCAGTCGTTAACGGCACGAATCAGTCGTTGACGGCACGAACCAGTCGTTAACGGCACGAATCAGTCGTTGACGACACGAACCAGTCGTTACAGACACGAACCAGTCGTTGACGGCACGAATCAGTCGTTGACGGCGCGAATCAGTCGTTAACGGCACGAATCAGTCGTTGACGACACGAACCAGTCGTTACAGACACGAACCAGTCGTTGACGGCACGAATCAGTCGTTGGCGGCGCGAATCAGTCGTTAACGGCACGAATCAGTCGTTGACGACACGAATCAGTCATTGACGGCACGAATCAGTCGTTAACGGCACAAACCAGTCGTTGACGGCACGAATCAGTCGTTAACGGCACGAACCAGTCGTTACAGACACGAACCAGTCGTTGACGGCACGAACCAGTCGTTAACGGCGCGCGAAGCAGTCAGGCAGTATTCCCGACAGATAAGAACGAGCCTCAGAGATAAGCATGAAACGAGGTTATAAATTCTTGAGTCACCAGCCGGGGTGAGCCACTATCACTATCACCACCACCACAAGACATTGTTCTCCGTTATCAGCCGTAAGTCTTCTCCTGTAAGCGTTTCCTAAGTCTTGCTGAGGAAATTGCCGTGTTTGCCGTGTTTATATATATATAAACATTGCCGTGTTTATATATATATAAGATTCTGATTTATAAAGCTTTTCGTGTACAGGGAAGTTTGTGGACTTTCAGTGTTGCTTGACACTTTATTGGGACGGGTATGGTTCCCCTTTTGTTGTTGTTGTTGTTGTTTTAGCTACTGGGAACAAAAAGTTGCAAGTAGCACGGGCTATGGTGAGCCCGTGCTACTTGCAACGGGCTTGTTCTTGAAGGTTGGTATTGGTGGGTGTGGTGATGGTGGTAGACGGTGTGGTGGTGGTGGTTGGTGTGATGGTTGTTGGTGTTGTGGTGGTGGTGGTGGTAGTTGGTGACGTGATGGTTGTTGGTGTGGTGGTGGTGGTATAGTTGAGGTGGTGGCAGTATAGTAAGGGTGTGGTGATGTTGTTGGTGGGGTGTGATGATGGTGGTAATTGGTGTAGTGACAGTGCTGACGAGTGTGGTGGTGATAGTGGTAGTGGATGTAGTGATGGTGGTAGTAGGCGTGGTGTTATTGACAGTTGGTGTGGTGGTGGTGATAGCGATAGAGTGATTGATGAGGATTAAACCACCCAAGAGGTGGCACGGGCATGAATAGCCCGTAATGTTTACCTTGCGATGTTTTCGGGGCTCAACGTCCCCCGCGGCCCGGTCCTCGCCCAGGCCTCCCAGTGATAGTTGGTGTGGTGGTGATTGCGGTGGTCGAGGCGCCTCACCTCTACCAGCACAACACCTTGAAACAGGGCCACGTTATCACACTAATCACTCTGCTATTGCTTGAAGATAACAGCAGATATGACTTATCTCTCCTTGAAACCTCTCGAGCATGTCCTTACACAGAGGCCACTGCGAACTTCAAATGGTATTATATACACACGAGAAATACAAATACATCACTGCCTCATCAAATACATCAAATACATCACTGGTACATCAAAATACAGATACAGCCCACCGTTATGGGCCCTGACGGCTGAGTTGACAGCGCTTGGGATTCGTATTCCTAAGGTTCCCGGCTCGATCCCCGGTGGAGGCGGAAACAAAGGGGAAGAATTTCTTTCGCCCTGATGGCCTTGTTCACCTAGCAGTAAATAGGTACCTGGGAGTTAGACAGCTGCTACGGGCTGCCTTTGAGGGGAGTGTAACAAAAAGGAAGCCTGATCGAGGACCAGGCCGTGGGGACGCTAAGCCCCGAAGTCATCTCAAGATAACCTCAAGAAGATAACCATTCACATCTCAAAGCATCAGTCAAGAAAGATCGGGCAAGACTTCACAATGAATTTATTCATCTGTAGTTCACACAAGTAACTCAACAAAGGTCTCCACCTTAGTCATTACCTACTCACCTTGTGGCAAATTAATATTCTCTCTATCACCTGGTCTCTAATTATTTCCTCACGTGCTTAAATTGTACGAAAATCTCCTCTACATAAATTGTTCACGAAAGTCGGGCTACTTCCCCCCCCCCCCCAACACGTTTATCTATTTATGAATAACAAAATCTTTACACATGACACAACTAATCATGTTCGAACCTTTCTTGAACATTCCTTCGTCCTCTTCCTGTGTTCGAATCGCATCCTCTACTTCACCAACGTGCTGCAGATGCAAATAATTGCGTGCCATCATTACAAAGGGCAGCCGGATTCACAACGTTTTAACCATATACAGACATTAAACTCTACCTGTCAGTATGTGACTTAGAGCCCACATGACCATGTTCTTGAGGTTATCTTGAGATGATTTCGGGGCTTTTAGTGTCCCCGCGGCCCGGTCCTCGACCAGGCCTCCACCCCCAGGAAGCAGCCCGTGACAGCTGACTAACTCCCAGGTACCTATTTACTGCTAGGTAACAGGGGGTATCAGGGGTGAAAAAAATCTGCCCATCGTTTTTCGCCGGCGCCCGGGATCGAATCCAGGACCACAGGATCACGTATCCAGTGTTCTGTCCGCTCAGCCACCGGCTCCCATGCTCAAAGTTCAAAGTTCCATGTTCAAAGTTACGACTCAAAACGTGGTTCGTTCACTATCAGCCTGTAATGTAAACACTTCCTATATCAAAATAACAAGATCAACTTACCTAACTTTGCCTAGGTCTAACTATTTATAAGCCCACAATATATAACATTAAACTATAATTGAGAAAAGACTTTATTATTATACTGTACGAAAATGTCATCTTTGTTGATTGCCAGCTGTATAAGTAAAATACTGACATTAACTTCAACAAGTCGTATAGCCTTGGCTCAGGATGGTTGAATAACTGCCAACAGAACCAAACATCTAACAGAACCTATCTTTGCAATTATTACTTAACCTTTCAACGGTATAGTTAAGTAATAATTGTAAATAAGAAGCAATAAGATGCTTATCTTAACATTCTAAGAAGGTTAGGTGAGGTCGGTGTTTTCTATGAAGCTTTTCAAGGTAAACTAAAATATTCACAATCAATTAATATGTCACATATGCACTTATTAAATATGCCAATATTGACTGTACGCAAGTGCGAGAACGGGTTGCAGACATGAGTACAGACAGCAGAAGGGCAGCAGACTCACAGACTCCCTAAACGTCTTCCGAGGCTTGAAACATGTATTTATATGTTAAATTATTAAATTAAATAATTCTTTATTATATCTGGCCGAAGAATTCAGGCACGATATGATCATTTTAAAACAGTTTTACTGCGTCAAGTAGAAAAGTATAATCATGTACTTTTAGAGTTCGCGTCATGACATCTAATTCAATGTAATTTTGATTCTAAGATTATTTGGAAATACTTAACTGATGCCCTTCATAGGTACAGACGCACCCGAAGCTTGTCAGCGTGATAATAAGCGCAGGAGCTTACCTGGCAGCTTGCTACTAAGCGCAGCTCCGTCTCAACATGAGTTCGGGTGAGTAGGAATATGTTTACCAGTGGTCAATAATGTCACATGACCCGAATGCCAATATTCATAAGTTTAATATTAATTTTGTTTAATGTTTGTTGTTATTGATGATTTAGGGCGGATGAGCACCAGACCTCACCCAGCTCAGTGGGGTAAACTGGATGAAATCTTTCAACTCCCAGTGACCTCAGGCGATATAATACTCCTTTTAACTCCTAAAGTCGAATAAATCTCGTAATTTAATGTCATCGTCAAGATGATATTAAGCTTCACATTAAGCTTAATGCTTATTAAGCTTATTAAGCTTATTAGGCTTTACATTAAGAATCGTCAAGCGCGGTCAAGCCAAAATGCAGCAACGACAGCCAGTGATCTCGGGCGGAGCAAGAGCCAGACCACCGCGTCTTGAGGACACCTTCGAAGGCCACCAAGACGCTGCGATGTCTAGCTGTTGCTGTTTAAGATTCAGCTACTAGGAACAAAAAGTTCCAAGTAGCACGGGCTATGGTGAGCCCGTAGTGGACTTACCTGGCACAGGAGCGGGGCTGTAACTTGGATCTCCGGCACCTCTCGGCCACTTTATTTCTTATAATCAGTTTTTTTTTAAATGAATTATTAAACCAAACCCAAATTTACATATAACACGCCTGAGGAACTGGTCTAGGAGTGACCCCATAATTCAAATACAGTGACCAAACAAGGTCTAATCTTGTTTGTGATGTGTGTATATGTATGTATTAACACGTTGTACTGAACGGGGTGAGAATAGCTTGAGCTACCTCATCCCTTTGTGTGTATTTTACATCAATAAACTTATTTCAATTTCAATTTCAATTTCAGGTCTAATCTGCTCGTGAATTTTATGTCTCCCACAGGGCCCCCACCACCGTACAACCCACAGGCATCCTATGGGGCCCAGACAAACCCACATCCACCACCTAACAACCGCGACCCGTCCTACGGGGTCCAGTATAAGCAGTATCCACCACCGTACGACGCTGGGCCGTCCTATGGGCCGCAGTATGGCCAGTACCCACAACCATACAACCCTGGACCAGCCTACGGACCACCACCACCCGGTGGCTCACGGCAGCAGCAGACCGTCATCAGTATGCAGCCCGGTGTTGGCGCCACATCGGTAGTGGTCATTCCTGGCGGCAACTGCCCTGCCTGTCGGGTTAGTTGAAATAATGATAAGCATTTTTATTGTGAAAATCGCATTAAGATATACTTGCTATAATAACAAATCTAGCTTTTAAGGGGATTACACGGTAGGGGAGGACGACCAGTATCTTGGACGGGGAAAGTTCCCTTACTACTTGGGAGCGGAAATCCTGTTGTAAGTTATCGAGTTCCCCAAAAGCCAACTGCTTACTTTTCTCAGGATGCAACCCCCAACAGTTGCCTAACTCCTGGATACCTAACTTCTTCTTGGTGAACAGAGGAGTCAGGTAGAAGAAGATGTGCCCAAACGCATTTGTCCTGCCGTAGGAATCGAAAACGGGTCCTTTCATTGTGGTGCCACAGCACTATAGGAAAGGTTAGGGGAAACTTGAAAGAGTGAAAGATCTGCGAGTTGATAAAGCCTTCTGGAAAAGCTTAACTGCAAGTTCCGAGGGACGTCTGGTGTGGCCGCCCCCTGACGGGAGCCCCAGAGAGGGACGTCTGGTGTGGCCGCCCCCTGACGGGAGCCCCAGAGAGGGACCTCTGGTGTGGCCGCCCCCTGACGGGAGCCCCAGAGAGGGACGTCTGGTGTGGCCGCCCCCTGACGGGAGCCCCAGAGAGGGACGTCTGGTGTGGCCGCCCCCTGACGGGAGCCCCAGAGAGGGACGTCTGGTGTGGCCGCCCCCTGACGGGAGCCCCAGAGAGGGACGTCTGGTGTGGCCGCCCCCTGACGGGAGCCCCAGAGAGGGACGTCTAGTGTGGCCGCCCCCTGACGGGGAGTTTCAAGAAAAGTACGAACTGAATTAGTGATCAACACTTCAGGTAATGTAATGAAACAAATTGGCGTTAAACCAACTGGCCAGCCCGTTCTCTTCATGTTCCCTTCGTAAAATAAAATGAGGGAGGGGGGGATTAGCCTAATTGCGTTAAAAATTAGGCTACCCACCTAGCCTACCGGAGCCATAATCAACAGTCCCTAAAAGCATCAATACTGAGAAAGTTTTAATTTCCCTAAACCACGGCATTTTTTCCGCCGGGGTTAGATTGCGTAAAATCTGCAGTGTTCAGTACAAGGACTGGTATCTACCTCTTATTTTCTTTTATAAACCTTCGAAAGCTCTGTTTTGAATTCCGTATCTAGCAAATAGTATATACTGAACAAAATTCATTTATAAGAATGTTTGAAGACTACAATGGTCAACAACTAGAACTAGAGAAATTCAGACAGTCTTGAACGGTGTTGGCGTGAATGGGCAATCAGTCTTTTTGCCTACATAAAGTATTCGCTCATTTAGTTGTCGGCTCACAACCGAATGGTCTCGAGTTTGATTCTCAGGGAGGACGTAAAGTTTTGGCACGTTTTCATGCGCCTGATGCCTCTGCTGACCAACAGTAAATAGCAGGAACCTGGCAGTTAGGCGACAGCTGTTGGCTGCATTCTTGAGGTCAGACTTTGAGCTTGTTAAACCTAACAAGGTGCACGTAAGTATTTCTGACAATGAAAAAGTCATATATGTTTGAGCGTCTTGTTATTATTGTATATTTAAGTTAGCCATTAGCTACGTTTTCTTCTTTGCGTTCCAGTTGGCTGTCAGAGAACGAGTCCCTAATTTTTAGGATTAACACTGACATTTTGATGCAATGTAATTTAACAATTACGCTCTAACAATACGTTTAATAATATTAATAGTAATTTATTTTATCGGCAACAAGCAGCTAGTGTATATATATATATATACATGTTAGGCTTATATCAAAGTCCTTTCCCCCCTCAGGATAGAACCACTGACCCTCCCCCAGGGTGTAACCCCACAACAAACTGACCAACACTTCGGTTCCTATTTACTGCAAGGTGAACAGGTCCATTAGGTGATAGAAAACGCGCTCAACCATTTCTGCCCCGCCCGGGATTCGAACCCTAAACTCTGGATTGTGAGTCGAGAACAACCCCGACTGTACTACATATGCAAGGTATTAATGGTCGCGAAAATACATATTTTGGTAATTAAAGGGTATATACTTGCAGATGTAGCTGTCAGATTCGTATTCGAATCACAATCGAGAATTCCAGGTTCGAGTCCCAGGCGGGACAGAAATGGCTGGCCACATTCCCTATCACCTGATACCCCTGTCCACCTAGCAGTGAGTAGGTACCCAGGAGTTATTCAGCTTGTTGTGGGGTTGTATCCTGTGGGATGGAGAGGGGGGGGGGTAAGGGAGCTCGATATAAGCCTAACGTGTATAAATACACTCTGGCTGCCTGTCCCTCGACACAATTACTTATTATTAACATGAATTATTAAATCTACTAACATGCATAGCGCTTCGGATATAAGTTTTACTTCACCATTCATCGCGTGGATAATTTTTTTGGGGACTTTTAAATTCAATATTGGAAGATAAAAAATAACTACACTTTTTTTTAGGAAGTCAGTCAATCAATGACATATTTTTAAAGATATTTAATGTAATTTATGAATATTTAATCTTGTTTACTGAGTCAATTAAGCTTTACTGCTTTGTTGAGTGTTATTCAATTTATGTTATACTTATATATATATATAGTGATGAATTTTGTAGCATTTACTGACAGTACTGTTTGTTTTCCTCCCTACCTCACACACTTTATTTTCTCTCTCTCTCTCTCTCTCTCTCTCTCTCTCTCTCTCTCTCTCTCTCTCTCTCTCTCTCTCTCTCTCTCTCTCTCTCTCTCTCTCAATATATCTGCTTCTGTTTCACACACGCACTCACACACACACACACACACACACACACACACACACACACACACACACACACACACACACACACACACACAGGCCGGGGTTCTTGAGCACGAGTTCACGTTCTGTGGCATCTGCATGTGCATCTTATTCTTCCCTCTTGGGATGCTGTGCTGCTACTTGATGAGAGATCGGCGGTGTACAAACTGTCGGGCGATCTACGCCTAGAGCTCCTCCAAGACAACGGTGCTGCAGTGAAGAGGAACGGTGTTGAGCTTGCAAGCAACTCCTTGCAAGCAAACCCTTGCAAGCAACCCCCTACCTTGCGTCAAGATGAGGCTGCTTGCTGAGCCGACGATCGCAGACGTTCCTGTGCTCACAACTGAAAACATTAATTTATATATCGTATTTCTTAATACAAGCCTACGTAGATATAAATGTATATAAAAGAGAGAGAGAGAGACGCTGCCAATCTCTGGTTATATATGTGGGGGAGAGCCTTCGCCTCGGAGAAGAGGCGAAGGGCACCCCGGGCAGCCTTGTGAGGCTCCACATGTACTTGTATAATGTCTTCTCCAAAACCCTTCATTTATTTTATTTTTATATTTGAAGCTATGTTATGTATGATTATATAAAAGGTACGAAGAAAATCGCCACAAGTTGTATAGTTCCTTAAATGCTAAACATGAATTGAAAATGTAATGTACATTTCCCCCCCCCCCCCCCCCTGTATAGCTACCTATTCCCTCACACCTAGGTGAGTGAATAGGTAGCTGGCAGCTCTTGGATCTTTTGTTGCTTTGACGAGCTTAGGACCTGGATTCTTGAGGCAGCGCTTGCCTACTTTACTCCAGGTGACGAGAAGTAAAATCAAGACGATATTGTACTGCTGAGTGGTATTGATAAGTGCCACTCATCAGTACTTATGGAACATGGCTGATTCCCTGTGGGTGGCAGCACCACCTGGATGTGCAACAGTTGCACACCCACCACCTAGATGGCGCTGGGTGTGTCACCACATTATCAAGAAATAAACAAAGATTGATTGATTGATGAAGATTAGAGATTTTTTGTAGTGGAATGTGGTAGAGATGTTGTTTTAGAATCAGCTACTCAGAACAAAAAGTTGCAAGTAGCACCGACTATGGTGACCCCGTAGTGGACTTACTTAGCACAGGATCGGGGGTCTGATATATATAATCCCAAACTGATTGATTGATTGATTGGTCAAACTGACAAGAGTTTGGGATTATATACCCAACGACACCCGAGAAGACAAAGATCCATAAGCCAAACCTCTCGATTTAATAGAAGTGACGTGAAGGTTGGATGATTTAGTAGATATTAACTGGGTATGCAATCATTCCTGGAATGTACCACACAAGCGTGTAATAGATTCTGAATAAACTACTACTAACAAAATGAATATCGGGTGCACAATAAACTACTACTTATTAATGAGTATCGGGCGCACAATAAACTACCCCACCTGTGTTGACCAGACCACACACTAGAAGGTGAAGGGACGACGACGTTTCGGTCCGTCCTGGACCATTCTCAAGACGATTGCCAGAATGATCCAGGACAGACTGAAACGTCGTCGTCCCTTCACCTTCTAGTGTGTTGTCTGGTCAACATACTTTAGCCACGTTATTGTGACTCCTCGCCTGCCCCACCAGTGCACAGGATGAGTGCACAATATACTTACCCCCCTCTGACAGCCTCTATATAAACAGTAAAGCAGCATCAAACAGTGAAGGTCAACACTTTAGGTCAGGTATAATACTGAATTGTTGTCCATGAAGTCAACACACAACACTGAGGCGCTAACGCAGCTCCAGGAATCGAGGAGCACAAGAAAGTAGAGAGGATGGATAGGGCGTGGTAAAGGGCGTGGCCTGGTAGAGGGCGTGGCCTGGTAGAGGGCGTGGCCTGGTAGAGGGCGTGGCCTGGTAGAGGGCGTGGCCTGGTACAGGGCGTGGCCTGGTACAGGGCGTGGCCTGGTAGAGGGCGTGACCTGGTACAGGGCGTGGCCTGGTAGAGGGCGTGGCCTGGTACAGGGCGTGGCCTGGTAGAGGGCGTGGCCTGGTACAGGGCGTGGCCTGGTACAGGGCGTGGCCTGGTACAGGGCGTGGCCTGGTACAGGGCGTGGCCTGGTAGAGGGCGTGGCCTGGTACAGGGCGTGGCCTGGTACAGGGCGTGGCCTGGTACAGGGCGTGGCCTGGTACAGGGCGTGGCCTGGTACAGGGCGTGGCCTGGTAGAGGGCGTGGCCTGGTACAGGGCGTGGCCTGGTACAGGGCGTGGCCTGGTACAGGGCGTGGCCTGGTACAGGGCGTGGCGTCTCAGGCGGCCGAGTCTTTAGTGGATCATGTTAATCGGGCTCCAGTTCATAAGGACAATGGTACCCTTACAGAGGTTACTGAAACAACTCTTATGTCATTTATTCTTTATATATATTTAAAAGTCATATATATATATATATATATATATATATATATATATATATATATATATATATATATATATATATATATATATATATATGGTCTGTAATATAAATATTAGAGTATATATTTGTAAGGCCATAAAAAAACAAAAGTGTTCTTATGATCTCTGTTTATATCTTGATTTGTCATTATATTTATGTACAAAGTGGGAGAGACGGAGCTGCAGTGTTGCTTTAGGCAGGTGTTTTAAGGCAGGTGTTTTAAGGCAGGTGTTTTCAGTGATACGTAGAGAACAGCTCTAGGATTAATCAACTACCCACGTGTCCACTTGCGAAACCTGTCCATCTTTCGTCAATCACGGCAGCTGAGTTTGTGTTGTATTAAACAGTTTAAGAGATACCAAACTCTACGATGTTCTCTGTAACAATTATAACCTTGAACTGCGAGTTTCCAAACTCGTAAACTGTTTAATAAAAGATATAGAGGCTTCGTAAGTGTTTGATCAATCCTGGAGCAAAACCCTTTTAAAGATTGGACTTTGTGAAATAATAAATAGTTATTATCACAAGATTATCATCTCTTCTCCCTGGGTTGTGCTTGTGTATGGAGTTACCCAAGTGTAGTTGCAGGATGAGAGCACCGCTCGTGGTGTTCCGTGTATGTGTGTACCCTCGTCTAGTTATGCTTGCGGGGGTTGAGCTCTGGCTCTTTAATCCCGCCTCTCGACTGTCAATCAACTGGTGTACGGGTTGCTGAGCCTACTGGGCTCTATCATATCTACACTTGAAACTGTGTATGGAGTCAGCCTCCACCACATCACTGCCTAATGTATTCCATTTGTCAATTATTCTGACACTTAAAAAAATTCTTTATAATGTCTCTATGGCTCATTTGGGCACTGAATTTCCACCTGTGTCCCCTAGTGCGTGTGCTTCTTGTGTTAAATAGCCTGTCTTTACCTACCCCTATCAATTCCTTTGAGAATCTTGTATGTGGTGATCGTGTCCCCAGTAACTCCTATCTTCCAGCGACGTGAGGTTAAATTCCCGTAGTTTCTCCTCGTAATTCATACCCCTCAGTTCGGGTACTAGTCTGGTGGCAAACCATTGAACTTTTCCAGTTTAGTCTTATGCTTGACTAGATATGGACTCCATGCTGGAGCTGCATACTCCAGGATTGGTCTGACATATGTGGTAAATAACGTACTAAATGATTCCTTACACAAGTTTCTAAAGGCCGTTCTTATGTTGACCAACCTGGCATATGCCGCTGATGTTATCCTCTTGATATGGACTTCAGAAGACAGGTCTGGCGTGATATCAACCCCCAAGTCTTTCTCTCTGATTCTTGAAGAATTTCATCTCCCAAATGATACCTTGTATCTGGCCTCTTGCTCCCTACACCTATCTTCATTACATTTGGTTAGGTTAAACTCTAACAACCATTTGTTGAACCATTTCTTCAGTTTGTCCAGGTCTTCTTGAAGCTTCAAGCTGTCCTCCTGTGTCTTAATCCTTCTCATAATTTTGGCATTATTAGCAAACATTGAGAGGAATGAGTCTATACCCTCCGGGAGATCATTTACGTATATCAGAAACAGGATAGGACCGAGTACAGAGCCCTGTGGGACTCCACTGGTGAGTTCATGCCAGTCTGAGGTCTCACCCCTCACTGTAACTCTCTGCTTCAAATTGCTTAGGTACTCCCTTATCCACTAGAGCGCCCTACCAGTTACTCCTGCCTGTTTCTCCAGCTTATGCACCCGCCTCTTATGGGGTACTGTGTCCAAGGCTTTCCGACAGTCCAAGAGAGACAGAGAGAGAGAGTGTGTGTGTGTGTGTGTGTGTGTGTGTGTGTGTGTGTGTGTGTGTGTGTGTGTGTGTGTGTGTGTGTGTGTGTGTGTGTGTGTGTGTGTGTGTGTACTCACCTATTTGTGCTTGCAGGATCGAGCATTGACTCTTGGATCCCGCCTTTCCAGCTATCGGTTGTTTACAGCAATGACTCCTGTCCCATTTTCCTATCATACCTAATTTTAAAATTATGAATAGAGTTTGCTTCCACAACCTGTTCCCCAAGTGCATTCTATTTTTCCACTACTCTCACGCTAAAAAAAAACTTCCTAACATCTCTGTGACTCATCTGAGTTTTCAGTTTCCACCCATGTCCCCTCGTTCTATTATTATTACGTGTGAACATTTCATCTATTTCCACTTTGTCAATTCCCCTGAGTATTTTATATGTCCCTATCATATCTCCTCTCTCCCTTCTTTTCTCTAGTGTCGTAAGGTTCAGTTTCTTCAGACGTTCTTCATATCCCATCCCTCGTAACTCTGGAACAAGCCTCGTCGCAAATTTCTGAACCTTCTCCAGTTTCCTTATGTGTTTCTTTAGGTGGGGGCTCCATGATGGCACGACATACTCTAAGACTAGTCTCACGTAGTGTGTGTGTGTGTGTGTGTGTGTGTGTGTGTGTGTGTGTGTGTGTGTGTGTGTGTGTGTGTGTGTGTGTGTATGTATGTATGTATGTATGTATGTGTGTGTGTGTGTGTGTGTGCGTGCGCGCTCTAGCGAGCGTCTGGTCTACATTTATGTAAGCCTGCATATTTATATAGGCATACACACACACACCATAAAATCTCCCCTCGACAAAAATAGGTTTTTAACACATATATTAAACTGAAGACGTGTAGGCCTACTTGTATATTATAGTACATGTTAGATGTAAACAGTCTCACATTTAGGCGCCGTGCCAGTCAGTCTTCAACCTTGACACTATTGAAGAAAAAAAAAGAGTTCTCTTCGCTACATTTCTTTACAAACAAAAATAAAATTATTTAGAACTACTTATGATGATGTTGATTGGCTGATCTTAACAATTAACCTTAACTAATCTTTGTATTGTATGGTTCACCTTGGCATAGGGTTTGGTTCAACTGGCCTATGTAATCTTTGTGATAGTCATTGACATCTAATTGGTCCGTGCTCACTCAACCACCGAATCAGCCCATTACGTTCCAGCCTTTAGACACACAGCACCGCTCCTGTGCCAGATAAGTCCACTACGGGCTCACCATTGCCCGTGCTACTTGCCCCGCTCCTGTCCCAGGTAAACTACGGGCTCACCATAGCCCGTGCTACTTGGAACTTGTTCCGAGTAGCTGAATCTATAACAACAACAACAATCCAGCCTTCTTCCTAGCGTATGGCTCAAGATAATGATACGGTGATGGGACCCCCTGCACTGCATAGCACTATCACCGAGCACTCCTGGTCCTTGACGTGCCGCAGTGAAGCACCAGCTACACTACGTAGAAACATACACATATACATATAAATTATCAACCGCACTACCGTGGATATAAACAGTTCATTCACCTGGGCACTAGGAGACTCGAACCACCGACTCCCCATATGAACGGGGGAACAAAACAGACACATTACATAACAACTCAGAAGATGGAGAAGCGACGACGTTTCGGTACGTCCCGGACCGAAACGCTTTATATCACACCGCTTTATAATGGTCCAGGACGGACCGAATCGTTAATATGTACATGTGTGTGTGTGTGTGTGTGTGTGTGTGTGTGTGTGTGTGTGTGTGTGTGTGTGTGTGTGTGTGTGTGTGTGTGTGTGTGTGTGTGTGTGTGTAAAGCAAACGGTGCAATGTCAGAATTTGAACACCATAAACCGGAAGGCAGCACCAGGAACCGAAGACACTGCTCCGGGAACCGTAAGGCTGTTGCACCAAGAACCGGAAGACAGCGCACCAAGAAACCCCCCGAGAAGGCAGTACACCAAGAAGCCCCCCGAGAAGGCGGCATATATCAGTGGTGGGCGTTGCTGGAGCAGTTGCCGAGGTCTGCCGGCTCGAGGGAGTAGACCGGGGCGTCCATATTGACACACATGAAGTTGTCGAAGCAGCTCATGACGGCCGAGTCCTCCACTACCCACATGATCTTGCAGTCGCAGACGATGTTGTTGCCTGTGAAGAGAGAGAGACACTGGCAGATGATGCTGAGATGTTGGCAGGAAGGAGGGAGAAGGAATGGGGGGGTAGAGGAGGGAGAAGGAATGAAAGAAAGGGAGAAAACATCATGGTAAAGCAAGCACAACTTGGGACAATGGGTTTACCTGAGCGAGTAGAGAGGTTTATGTAAACTAAGAGTTGGGGTACCAGATGAGGTTTCATATTGACCAGACCACACACTAGAAAATGAAGAGACGACGACCTTTCGGTCCGTCCTGGACCATTCTCAAGTCGATTGTGTTTCAAAAATGGGGTTTCATAAATTCAGGTACAATCAGTCGAGTCTTGGGCTCTAAATCTTAATACGATTTGTTTTTTTGAACTGAATTCAATTAATTTGACATAATTTGAACTGAACAATGTTGTAAAGGTTGTATGTCTTCTTGAGTGATTGTGACTCTCGGCTATGACAGTGATAGTGACTCTCGGCAATGACAGTGATAGTGACTCTCGGCTATGACAGTGAAAGTGACACTCGGCTATGACACAGTGACAGCCAGCTTGTCTATGCCACCTTGGACCGCCAGGTCAGGTATCCCACTACTCTCAAAAATGTGTTACAAAAATCGTCCACTTTCACGTGTTGTCAACAACGATCAAGATATTTTTTTTTTGGGGGGGGTACCTTCACTAGAGGGAATGTATGTTGTTGTTGTTGTTGTGATGGCTAGAGTGTAGTACTAGTTATATAAATTGTAGCATCATCATTATTATTATTATTATTATTATTATTATTATTAATACCTACCTTCGAAGGTGAAGTAGACGAAGTAGAGGCTGTCCAAGATGATGGGGTGGAAGACCTTCTCAGAGATGGTGGTCAAGAGGTTGTACTGCAAGTTGATCTGCACGTTCCGTAGTCCGCGGAAGGCGTATTCGCTGCAACGCAATATTGCAAGCTTCGTTATTTAACCGTATGTGTGTGATGGTATCGTGTATGATGGTAACATGTGTGTGTGTGTGTGTGTGTTGGTACCATGTATGTGATGGTACCATACGTATGCTGGAAACAAGCACACCATCGATGGTATGATCTGACCTATAGTACTGCAACAGGAGGCACCCCAGTACCTGCCTACTGTAATATAAAATCAGAGCCGGAAGCAGGTACGAGCTTCTAGCACACTCCCACTAAGGGGCACACGTGCCCCCTAACTCACACTAGGGGGCACGTGTGCTCCTCCTCTTGTAGCTTGTTGCTGGGTACTGAAGTCGAGCAAGTGCTGCAAGTACTGTTCATTATCTTTAGCAGTCGTCATCTCTACTGTTGTTGAAGAATACGAAGATGTTGAAGTGATCAGCATGTGTGACTGGCGGACCACTGAGAGCTGGTCACAATGTAGAACTAACGACAAATCCGAACAGGAAGCCAGCGGCTTCCTGTCCCCGCCGAGAACACTAGAGAGAAATAGTGGCCGTCAGGTAAAGTCACGTAAATTAGTTTTCTTAGACTCATTTGCATTTTCAGCTTCCATTTAAGTCCTCTTGTCCTACTTTCTCGTTACAGAGCCTCTGTAAGAAAGTGTATTGACTGACCTAAAATGACTGAAAGTGTCAAATATTCTGAGAGATACTTAGAAAGAGTGTCACATTTACTAAGAGATCTTTAGAGAAAGTGAGAGTGGGAGCAGCTGACCTGATGTAGGAGATCTTGTTGTAGGAGAGGTCGATGATGAGGAAGTTGGTGAAAGGGATGTGATTGAAGAACCTGAAGCAATCATCGTCGATCCTTGTGAGGAGGTTCCTCTGAAGGTGCAGCTCCTCCAGCTTATTCAGCTCTGCAGAATAACCAAACATGACACTTGGCTTAGTATACCATAATAACGCTACGTTTTCTTTGACAAGAAATTTCACCATAAAATCGCAGGCTTGTTTTCCAAAGAAAATAAATGCTCGCTTCGTCACCAATACAAACTTTATCCACTGCTACACAGAATGAGAAAATGTATCTAAATGCATCTAAATTAATTGAATTCAAACAAATCCGTAACTTGGCAATAATGATAATTCATTTTGTCGGAGACAGGCAGCCTGCGCGCGCGCGCACACACACACACACACACACACACACACACACACACACACACACACACACACACACACACACACACACACACACACGATTGAGAGGCGGGACCAAAGAGCCAATGCTCAAACCCCGTAAGCACAACTAGGTGAGAACACACACTCACACGAACTCCACCGGGTTCGATTCCCGGCGGAAACGGAAACAACTGGGCAGTTTCTTTGACCCTGATGCATCTGTTCACCTAACAGTAAATAGGTAACTGGGAGTAAGTATTGTGCACCCGATACTCATCCTGTGAGCGGCAGTTTATTGTGCACCCCATACTCATCCTATGAGCGGTAGTTTATTGTGCACCCTATACTCATCCTGTGAGCGGTAGTTTATTGTGTACCCCATACTCATCCTGTGAGCGGTAGTTTATTGTGCACCCCCATACTCATCCTATGAGCGGTAGTTTATTGTGCACCCCATACTCATCCTGTGAGCGGCAGTTTATTGTGCACCCCATACTCATCCTGTGAGCGGTAGTTTATTGTGCACCCCATACTCATCCTGTGAGCGGTAGTTTATTGTGCACCCCATACTCATCCTGTGAGCGGTAGTTTATTGTGCACCCCATACTCATCCTGTGAGCGGTAGTTTATTGTGCACCCCATACTCATCCTGTGAGCGGTAGTTTATTGTGCACCCCATACTCATCCTGTGAGCGGTAGTTTATTGTGCACCCCATACTCATCCTGTGAGCGGTAGTTTATTGTGCACCCCATACTCATCCTGTGAGCGGTAGTTTATTGTGTACCCCATACTCATCCTGTGAGCGGTAGTTTATTGTGCACCCCCATACTCATCCTATGAGCGGTAGTTTATTGTGCACCCCATACTCATCCTGTGAGCGGCAGTTTATTGTGCACCCCATACTCATCCTGTGAGCGGCAGTTTATTGTGCACCCCATACTCATCCTGTGAGCGGCAGTTTATTGTGCACCCCATACTCATCCTGTGAGCGGTAGTTTATTGTGCACCCCATACTCATCCTGTGAGCGGTAGTTTATTGTGCACCCCATACTCATCCTGTGAGCGGTAGTTTATTGTGCACCCCATACTCATCCTGTGAGCGGCAGTTTATTGTGCACCCCATACTCATCCTGTGAGCGGTAGTTTATTGTGCACCCCATACTCATCCTGTGAGCGGTAGTTTATTGTGCACCCCATACTCATCCTGTGAGCGGTAGTTTATTGTGCACCCCATACTCATCCTGTGAGCGGTAGTTTATTGTGCACCCCATACTCATCCTGTGAGCGGTAGTTTATTGTGCACCCCATACTCATCCTGTGAGCGGTAGTTTATTGTGCACCCCATACTCATCCTGTGAGCGGCAGTTTATTGTGCACCCCATACTCATCCTGACAGCGGTAGTACAAACAAAGGATTACAGAGGGCACTAAAGGTCTTTATTAGACCTCAACGGAGATTATTACGTTATATCCTTCACACGTTACAAGGATACTGTCAGCTAGTAACAGAGGTGAGAGAAGATACTTTAGTCGTGGAAAATGTCTATAGATAAAGTATTCTGTGAGGTCAGTAGAACTTCCGGTTGTAATTCTTTTTACCATGTCGTAGCTCAGACGATTAAGGCAGCGTCTGGGATGCTCTCGGATGTAGGTTCGAACCCTCGTCACGGCCCTTGTGGATTTGTTCATAAAGTATTCTGGTTGGTTGGTCAGTGAGGTGTTGTGGTGGCCTTAATAACCTTCCGTAGGTTATAAAGTAGGTTATTAGGTTGCTCCCATCCCCCAGGTCAAACTACTGACCAATCCGACAACAAACTGACCATCTCCCGGGTACCTATTTACTGCTAGGTGAACAGGTGCATCAGAGTGAAAGAAACTACCCATTTTGTTTCCGCCTCCACCGGGGATTGAACCCGAAACCTCAGGACTACGAATCCGAAGCGCTGTCCACTCAGCTGTCAAGTCCCCTCCAACCTGAAACATGGTCGAAAAAATATGCCTTACCTGCAAAGGC